AGCTCAACCCAACCCCTCCTCCGCAAGCACAACTAGGGGAGTGCCCATAGGTATCGTACTAACTGGGACTGCAGACCTCTGTGTGTGACTCCCCCTGGAGGAGTCTGTATATATATATATATATAATATATATATATATATATATATATATATATATATATATATAATATATCTATATCTATATTATATTTTTATATATATTAATATATAATAAACATACATTATACGGAACCAGACGGGTGACCTTGTAACAAACTAGGCTGTTGTAAGAATTATCCAGAGTGGTTTTATCGACAAAAGAGAATGGGAAGCTGAGCCTCATGGTGACCTTACCCCCAGGGGAATTCGCGGTGGAAATAACCGACGCTTTGTTCAAAGCTGCGTATAATGAATCATCCTATAGTTATTCAGTAATTTAGAGAAAATTAGCCTTTATTCATTTTGCATTAAAATTGTATTGTATAATAGTACTGGATACAATATCAGAGTATTCTAATTATTGAGTTTAAGTCACCATCATGACGTCACGAATCAGATCTAACTTTTAAGGCGGGAGTGACCGGCGGTCATAGGTCAGCAGGGTTGAAGTTTCTAATATTTTCTCAAAGTTTTAATAACCATTTTTGTGATCGGGAACAGCAGCTTTGCCGTTAGATGTTTGCGTAATCTAATTAAAGTAAAATAATTCAACCAGTCTGGATCAATTAAGTACAACAGAGTTTAATTGTTATAACTTAAACCTTGCTAGTACCTGGGTAGAAACTTTGACTAGGCGGAAGGATACAATACTCTTGTCTGGGGTAGACCAACAAGGAGGAGATCAGTGTGGAAACGGGAGCAGCTGGGAATAAGAGGTCCAACATCTTACCTCTCCCCAAGACCAGCCAAAACATCTAGCTGGTCGCCCAAGGTATAGTTGCTATTGTTAATTATAGAAAATAGTCTTCTCATTTGCCACTCAGGTCAAGTAGGGAGTGTAAAGTGATAGGGAGTGAACATATTTAGATTTTGTTTTAGTAGTTTCTTTTAATAAATTAAATTTGTTATTAATTTGCATTTTATTGTTTCCATGTTTTTTTAATGTGTATACTTGTCCTGGTCACGTGGTCCACACGAGCAGAGTTTGCATTGGGCGCCGATTCTAACATCGAATCGGAATTATCATTAACCGTGTAATTTATTCCCACACTCAAGTTCATCGTTTATAGTGGGATCAAGCCCCTAGGTTGATTAATTAGCGTGGATCGATCCAGACCTCGATCATTGCTCTTTGTATTACTGGTCTGGTGGTGGCAGCAGAGGTGACTCTAGGGTTTTGTTCAGAGCTTAGGTCACGTCATACTGGGTGTAGAATCCTAAGTCGGTCAATCGTCTTAGGACCACGTGGCGTGGAGTTGGCTTTGTTAAAAGTTTTGGAGTCCCTTGGTTTAGAAATAAAAGTAAGAATACGGGTAGAGGGTAAAGAAGGTAGATAAGTAGAGAGGAAACCAAACCCGTGTTACAACCTGTCCTGACCCTGTCTTCCGTGGCAGGTCACGGAATCAAGGCCTTTTATGGGGGGGGGGGGGGGGGGGGGGGGGGGGGGTGGGGGGGGGGGTGGGGAGGGAGGCGCCAATAACCTGGCGAACGTCACAACTGAGTCTGAAACCGGAATTCCTCCTCACCCAACAAGTCCTCCTTCCTCACACCTCATACAACAGCTCCTCCCTCACACCTCATCTCATCTACCTAACTCATACAAGCCCCAAATGTTCTAAGCTCATAGGATCATTTAATGACCCACGAGCTTGATCCTGTATATTAATTGCCATTCCAGTTATCAATTGTTCATATATCAATGTATATTTCATACATATATATGTTCTTCAAAATAAATAGGCTTCTTGTAGACGATCCTCTTGAAATCAGCAAATTGGTGACCTTTCATATTGATATATTTCCTATTAGTTCTTGTGGCTAAATCTTTTTCGCTTGAACGACCCTTAAAACATGCAGCTGGAGTTCAAATTAACGACTGGGACTTGATCGTGGTGGAGAGAGAGGTGTTCAAACAGCATGTGTTGGTCCAGAGAGCGAGCAAGATTTAAGAGGACACAAGAGGCGTGTGAACTGAGTCCATATATGTATGTATGTATGTATGTATGTATGTATGTATGTATGTATGTATGTATGTATGGCTCAGAGAGTAATTTCAATAGGCATATGCGTTACATGAATGCTAAATAGAGCACTTGCAAGAGGCTATGTGTAGCGTCTATGTATGCAAAAGAACCATCTGACACAGTTAGATGTTCAGATGAGAGAGAGAGAGAGAGAGAAAGAGAAAGAGAGAGAGAGAGAGAGGGAGAGAAAGAGAGAAAGAGAAAGAGAGAGAGAGAGAGAGAAAGAGAGAGAGAGAGAGAGAGAGAGAGAGAGAGAGAGAGAGAGAGAGAGAGAGAGAGAGAGAGAGAGCGAGAGAGGAGAGAGAGAGAGAGAGAGAGAGAGAGAGAGGGAGAGAGAGAGAGAAAGAGAGAGAGAGAGAGAGAGAGAGCTCCACAACCTGAAAACAATGAACATATTCCATGTCCCTTCATCATACACCCTACACCTATGTGAATTACACATGCATATCATACAACATAATACCTAGATACATATATAACACATAATATACAAAATGATATAGCGATACACGATCGAAACAAGATGATCGCATATTAAATCCGGTTATTTGGACTCTCTATATAAAAAACAGGATGCAGAATATGGGTAGAGTACATGGCTTACTCGCGGTACGAGGTCAAAAGGTCACGGCGACCTCCTCAGAGAAGCGTAGAAAGTAGAGTCGTACTCAAGAAACTATAATCAAAGGTCAAGATGTTCTCATGTCAAGCTGGTGACAGCTGATGACTGATTAGAGTCACGTGGGTGACAGCTGATGACTGATTAGAGTCACGTGGGTGACAGCTGATGACTGATTAGAGTCACGTGAGTGACAGCTGATGACTGATTAGAGTCACGTGGGTGACAGCTGATGACTGATTAGAGTCACGTGGGTGACAGCTGATGACTGATTAGAGTCACGTGGGTGACAGCTGATGACTGATTAGAGTCACGTGGGTGACAGCTGATGACTGATTAGAGTCCCGTGGGTGACAGCTGATGACTGATTAGAGTCCACGTGGGTGACAGCTGATGACTGATTAGAGTCACGTGGGTGACAGCTGATGACTGATTAGAGTCACGTGAGTGACAGCTGATGACTGATTAGAGTCACGTGGGTGACAGCTGATGACTGATTAGAGTCACGTGGGTGACAGCTGATGACTGATTAGAGTCACGTGGGTGACAGCTGATGACTGATTAGAGTCACGTGGGTGACAGCTGATGACTGATTAGAGTCACGTGGGTGACAGCTGATGACTGATTAGAGTCACGTGAGTGACAGCTGATGACTGATTAGAGTCACGTGGGTGACAGCTGATGACTGATTAGAGTCACGTGAGTGACAGCTGATGACTGACTCGAGTCACGTGAGTGACAGCTGATGACAGACTCAAGTCACGTTGGTGACAGACTCAAGTCACGTTGGTGACAGACTCGAGTCACGTTGGTGACAGACTCGAGTCACGTTGGTGACAGCTAATGGTGCCCCTTGCCTCCCTGTCCTCCAAGGCTCAGTGTAACAAACTAGGCTGTTGTAAGAATTATCCAGAGTGGTTTATCGACAAAAGAGAATGGGAAGCTGAGCCCGCATGGTGACCTGACCCCCAGGGGAATTCGCGGTGGAAATAACCGACGCTTTGTTCATAGCTGCGTATAATGAATCATCCTATAGTATTCAGTAATTTAGAGAAAATTAGCCTTTATTCATTTTGCATTAAAATTGTATTGTATAATAGTACTGGATACAATATCAAGAGTATTCTAATTATTGAGTTTAAGTCACCATCAGTGACGTCACGAATCAGATCTAACTTTTTAAGGCGGAGTGACCGGCGGTCATAGGTCAGCAGGGTTGACATGTCTAGTATTTCTCAAAGTTCAATTAACCATTTTGGGGATCGGGAACAGCTCTGCCGTTAGATGTTTGTAATTTAATTCAGTAAAATAATTCAACCAGTCTGGATCAATTAAGTACAACAGAGGTTAATTGTTATAACTTAAACCTGGCTAGTAACTTGGTAAAACTTTGACTAGGCGGAAGGATACAATGTTCTAGTCTGGGCTAGGCCAGACGAGGACAAATCAGTGTGTGATCTGCCGAGCAGCTGGGAGAGGTCAAACATCTTACCTCTCCCCAAGACCAGCCCAACATCCTTAGCTGGAAAACATAGAGGTATAGTTGCTATGGTTATGTATAGAAATAGTCTCATTTGCCAGTCAGGTCAAGTAGGGAGTGTTAAAGTGACAGGGAGTGAACATATTTAGATTTTGTTTTAGTTTTCTTTTAATAAATTAAATTTGTTAATATTTTGCATTTCATTATTTCCATGTGTTTTATGTGTAAACTTGTCCTGGTCACGTGGTCCACACGAGGTAGAGTTGGATTGGGCGCCGATTCTAACATCGATTCTAACATCGAATCATTCCCGTGTAATTAATTTCACACTCTTAAGTTTCCACGGTCATCGAGTGGGGATCAAGCCCCTAGGTGATTAATTAGCGTGATCGATCCAGACCTCGATCATTGCTCTTGTGTTACTGGTCTGGTGGTGGCAGCGTAGAGGCGACTCTAGGGTTTTGCTCGGAGCCTAGGTCACGTCAAACTGGGTGTAGAATCCTAAGTCGGTCAATCGTCTTAGGACCACGTGGCGTGGAGTTGGCTTTGGTAAAAGTTTTGGAGTCCCTTGGTAGAGAATAAAAAGTAAGAATACGGGTAGAGGGAGTAGAAGGTAGAGAAGTAGAGAGAGAACACCAAACCCGTGTTACATCAGTGCCAAACAATCACAGGAGACTCCTCCTCCCTCCCACATCTCCCAAAGGGATATCCCTTTATCCCAGGGTAAGAGGATATCCCTCTTGGGATATCCCTCTATCCCCCTTGGTGGGATAGTTGCAACGAGGCTCATCCCAATCTGAGTTGAAATGGGAACGAATGAAGGAGCTACTCCAGATGAGAAGATAATAAAGATGAGAAGAGAGAGAGACTGAGGATGTGAAAAAGAAGTATAAAATACTTTACCGAACTGACAGGGGTGGAAAAGAATGAATGACATGTAATGAATAACCAATAAAGAAGACATGGGTGGATGGTAGAGAGAGAGACAGATGAACGAGAGGAAGGGTCCAAGAGCTAAAGCTCTACCCCCACACCACACAAGCCTCCAGTACCCTCGTGTCGTCAGGAAGCGAACAATAAAAAGAGTGTTTCAATTGCATTCCCGACCCCACGAAGAAGGTTCTTGGGGACCTCGTGAAGACGGTTCGCGGCCCCCTGACCCCTTCGGTGCGTGGAACGGGCGCGTCACCCACTCCTCATCCTTGTGTGTGTGTGTGCGTGTGTGTGTGTGTGTGTGTGTGTGTGTGTGTGTGTGTGTGTGTGTGTGTGTGTGTGTGTGTGTGTGTGTGTGTGTGTGTGTGTGTGTGTGTGTGTGTGTGTGTGTGTGTGTGTTTTTGGCAGGTTAGGTTACTGGGGCACCACAGACACCACGAATCTGTACAACCGGAGTACAGATTCCTGAGCCTTCTGGGCTCTATCATATCTACATTTGGAACTGTGTATGGAGTCAGCCTCCACCACATCACTGCCTAGTGCATTCCATTTACTAACTACTCTGACACTAAAAATGTTCTTTCTAATGTCTCTGTGGCTCATTAGGGTACTCAGTTTCCACCTGCGTCCCAGCCGTGCTAAATAGTTTTTCATTTTATATACAGTGTCAATTCCCCTGAGAATTTTGTAGGTGGTAATCATGTCTCCCCTAATTTTTGTCTTCTAGTGACGTGATGTTTAATTCCAGTAGTCTTTCCTTGTAGCTCATGCCTGTCAGCTCGGGTGCAAGTCTGGTGTGTGTGTGTGTGCTCACCTAGATATGGTTGCAGGATCGAGCATTAGATCATGGACTCCGGATTCCGGACATTATGGAGTTCACTGTAATGAATCTGTTCCTATGTTCCTGTTCCTAGGGGGCCTCGTAGCCTGGTGGATAGCGCGCAGGACTCGTAATTCTGTGGCGCGGGTTCGATTCCCGTACGAGGCAGAAACAAATGGGCAAAGTTTCTTTCACCGTGAAAGTCAGTGAGTCAGTGAGTCACACCATTCCAGTCAGTGAATGCCCCTGTTACCTAGCAGTAAATAGGTACCTGGGAGTTAGTCAGCTGTCACGGGCTGCTTCCTGGGGGTGGAGGCCTGGTCGAGGACCGGGCCGCGGGGACACTAAAGCCCCGAAATCATCTCAAGATAACCTCAAGATGTTGTCCTTTTCATATATACATCAGTAGTTGTGATTACCTCTCTGTCCCTCTTGGAGGGGATAGTCTTAACTATAGATATCCCTCTTGGGGGGATATCCAATCCAGTCTATCCCTCTTGGAAGGATATCCAATCCAGTCTATCCCTCTTGGAAGGATATCCAATCCAGTCTATCCCTCTTGGAGGAATATCTAATCCAGTCTACTCCTCCTTGGAAGGATATCCAATCCAGTCTATCCCTTTTGGAAGAATATCCAATCCAGTCTACCCTCTTGGAAGA